CAATGCTAATTTATTAATTTCATCAAAATGCAGTAAAAAAGTTAGCAGAACATGTGTAAAGTGCAGTAAAGCTGTAAAATCGAAAATACAATTAAATTAGATGTTTTAAATTAAAATGTGTTAAATGCAGTTACATTTATTATGTTTACATTACATTTATTCCATTGATTTAAATCAGAAATACTTCAGTCTTCAGTGTCACATACTAAAGTTTTTCAGAAATCTGACTGGCTGTTCTATTATAATAAATGTTGAAATAATTTTTCTTTCTTCTTAGTTTTGTGGAAATTATGATACATCATAATTTTTTTCAAACAACCGAGCAAGGACATTTTCACAGAAAGTCGTGAATTTTTTTATCATCTGGTCAAAGTCTAATTTTATTTATTTTGACTGGAGTAAAAGTGTTTTTAGTTTAGTTGAGTATTTTTTTTAAGAAAGACTTTTTTTGATTGCCTACAGAACAAACCACTGTTGTCCAATGACTTGCCTAATTAACCTAATACACTTACACTTCGTGCTGAATAATACTATCTTGCCAAATAACTAGTGACTATATTGTCATCATGGCAAAGACAAAAGAAATTAGTTAGTAAAATTCATTTATTAAAACCAATATTTTTTTAAACATGTTGAACACACTTAAAAACAGCACTTAAAATATATATAGGCTAATCATATTGCAGTCAACTTTATATTTTTAATAGTACTGTATCACAGTTTCTACAACAAATATGTAGCAGCCTAACAATTTTCATCAACTTTAATAATAACAAATAAATTCAACCTTGGTGAATAAGCCACTTTTGATAAGCTACATTACAAAATCTTACTATTCTCAAACATTTGAGTAGTCTGTGTGTCTAGACTTTCACTGTCTGCACATATCTCTGAACATGTTTGTTTTGTCAGCTATGAAAGCATCTCTTGTCTCTTTAAGGTTGTGAAGCGTCTTCCTAAAACACGCTCTGGAAAAATCATGAGGAGAATCTTGCGAAAGGTTGCAGTGCAGGACACAAGCAACCTAGGGGACGTGTCCACGCTGGATGACCCCTCCGTCGTTTCAGAGATCATCAAGGCCCATAAACACTACAGAAGTCTTGCAGCTAAGCAGTAGAAAGACTCTTGGGAAACTGCCACATTAGAAATGAGGAGCTATGAATATCATGCTGTGATGACAAGGAATCTGTTCAAGTAATCCTCATGTGAATGAGAGAGCAGCGTATGCTAGCAGCAACACAGAATGCAATTACAGGTTAAGTGCCTTCAAATGTTGTGAAATGTGCACATGAATCCCTCCTAAACTGGATGTTATCCCTTGTAAGATGTCTTTTTAGCATTAATCGCGAAACGTTTTGCACAGCTTTTCTTCTTGTAAACAGAGACTCTGAGAGATATGCTACAGAACATCAGTATTTTTTAATAGATGATTTTATTTTAAGGTGCTCAGTCAGTTTGTGTCCATGCAAATCTCAACCTTTTCATATTCTCCTGTTTTCTCTCAAGACTTGTATGCCTTTACTTCCTAATGCTCAACACGAGATCAATATGATAGTATTCATTTTCAACAATATCACAAGTTCACAGTATTCTCATTTTCCTAGAAGAAAACAGATCTATTTTAAATGTTTTGAAATAATATTTTGTCTGGCTGTTATTTTTCCTTCATATTAAATGTAACTTTGCCATCATAGCTCATCTACACACTTTTCTAATACAGCTTTACTCGAAACAAAACTGTCGATGTATTTATGCTTTTACTGATTACATCAAATATTATAAACCCTCTTCTAAGTGTCTAATTTCAAACTGTTTTTCACAAATTTGATTCTAAAAAACTTTTTAGAGGGTATCCTGTGTAATTCAAATATACATTAACAGTAAGCTATTTGAATGTTGGTGGGATTTAGGTAACTGTTGCCTCTATAGGACTTAATAAAGACAGATAACATAAAATTTTCACAGTTTTCAAACAAGCATACAGTAGCTGATCAGTAAACATCATACACATACTGGTTTTTTTTTTGTGAATTGTTGGGACCTTCTAAAATTTTTTTGTATACAGTACAAACTGTATTTTCTGTTATACTACACTAACCTTATCCCTTCAGGCCTGTAGCCAGGGGGGTTGGGTGGTTTGAAAGATGAAAGGTCCAGAAATTGCTCCAAACATGAGTTCTTTGTCCTATTTTGACTGCTATTTCATAATACATTTTGAAAATAACCCTTCAAAAAAGGCTTTAAGACCCAGCGAAATCCTGTGTTGGCTGTCTGGACAGATTTTGGGAAACCAAATTTGCCACATCTCATTCTGAAGTCACGCTGTGCCATCCCAAATTCTGACTGAGGAATGTTGAATGTGGTGGCCAGTTTGTTATTTACCTAATAAATGACAATAGGCTACAGTTTTTAATTTAAAACTTTAACAGATTCCTATTTTTTTCTAATGATAGATGATATAATAATTTTTTATTTTAAACATACGCAGGCTATTGTTAATATATTTCTTTTTTCTAAATTTTTAACAAATGTTTTTGGTACATCAAAAAGTGTGTTATGATGACCATCCGACAAGCAAATATAGCTAGTTAGTAAATAGTGCATAAAATGTCACTAAATTGCAGTATTTACACCTCATAATTATAGAAAATTACACAAATAACTGCAAAAATGTCTACTCTTTGAGGAAAAAAAAGAACCACCGCTTTCAGCAGGCTGGCTATGGACTTGCCCTTACAGCAGGGATGTCAAACTCAAATCCTGCAGGGCCGCAGCTCTTCACAGTTTAGTTCCAGCCCTGCTTCGACACACTTACCTGTAGGTTTCATACAAGACTAAAGCACTTACTTAGTTTACCCAGGTGTGTTTAATTAGGGTTGGAACTAAACTGCCGAGCCGAGGCCCTCCAGGAACTGAGTTTGACACCTGTGCCTTACAGAAAACTGTTCTTTTTACATTCCAAATAAACAAATTCTGTATGTTTTATAAGTAAAAAATAGAAGGGGGCATAAACAAAGTCCTCATAATTAACAATTTCCTTGTAATACTTAAGCCATACTCGTGTGATTTGGTTTACTTTTGTATCCTGAGGTCACAAGCCCGCGCGAACACACCAATGGTACACACGCGCACAAAAAGAGGTCAACAGCGTGGTTAAACTCTAGCGCCATCTGCTGGTGAGAAGATATTTTGCACTTTACTGTCTGCAGTAAATAGAAGCATAAAGTTTACATATGATGGCCTGTATTTGTACTCAGTGTTTTGAATTGGACATACTTAAAAGTTTAAGTATTCCGAGAATGTCTGTCTTGTTGTATGTTGCTGATTGAGAAGCTTATTAATCTTTCACATAGTTTTATATTGTATGTGAGCATGTTAAAGGTTATACTGTAAAATAACAAATCATCATTGGTGTGGAACAGCTATAGAGTAATATAATATATATATATAAATAGTCATTTATAGGCATGATTCTTTAGTCTGTAAAATAGTTGAAGTATGATGTTAAAAACAATCTTTTGTGGTACACATCATATTAATGCAACATTCAGGCAGAGGGTGAATGTCTGTGACCAAAATAGTTTTTGAGAAGGAGAATTGTCATAAATTAGTGCTTTATTTCAAACAAAAACATGGTTGCCTACATATAGCTATTGAAATGTGTGAGTTAAACAGGCTTGACATTATCAGTTTATCTTAGAGCAAGCCCTGTTTTACCATAAATGTATAACAAATAATGTGTATTCAAGCATGATGCAGATAAAACTTGTTCCCTATGTGTAGCTAAGTTTGAATTAGCTACATAGAAATGGTTGTGGTTGCAACAAAGTGGATTGCCAAGCAACACAGATGCAGGAACATACTCGAGCACAAAATACTGATGTAATGAGGTCACCGGTGTATGCTTGTAGAGCAATTTACCACAGCTTAGAGTGCAGCTCTACCAACCATAATCAAAGACATAAAATTAAGAGTAAAAATGTTTAAGATAGGCATGTTGGACATTTTTTTTTAAAATGGATACAAAATATTTAATAACTTTAATGATACTAATGCTTGTTTAAACAAACACATTAAAACACTAATAAGTAAAAATGTGATAATTTGAAAAAATGTAAATAATTATTACATATTTGATGCTAAAATATGACTTAATAAGACTTAAAACTATTTAAAAATTATTCAAACACATACAAATGTGATTAAAACACGTAAATAATAAATAAAACAAAAAATGTGCCAAATGATATTTTACTGTGGTCCGTGTGTTCATTGTAATCCCGGTGTATATAATCTTATTTGGGGATCTAAGAGATTAAAATCCCTGCTCTTTTTCAGTCTATTTCAGTCTTTTCAGATGTGATTAAAAAAAATACAATTAAGAACACGAAAAACATGTCTGTTTTGATATTTCAGTTAAATTAATGGTTACATATGCACGATTAGTAAAGTGTAACTAAGTATAGTTTTAACGCGTGCTGCTATTATGTTAAAAATATATTATAATTTGTAACTTTTTTATATATATTTTATTTTTTATGGTAATGTACAGCAACTTGGCATTATCAATACATCTTTACTTTATAATTAAGGAAACAGGTGCAAATTTCCTACATAATACATTACAAAAAATAATTGTAAGTAAAACAATACATAAATATAATAAATAAATAAAAATGACTAGGGCTTTTCATGTAATTTACACTTTTTTATCAAAGACAGAAGATTAATTGCACTTTTTGTTTTCATTATCTTAAGGAAGTTTATAAATGAAAGAATGTATATGAAAGAAAAGGCACAAAACCTTGTTTTTTTTTTTTTTTTTTTTTGTAGCATTCAAAACCTATCCGACCTCACTACTAAGCCCCGCCCACTCTCCACAGTTGTCTTCCAATTAGAGCGAGCCTTCTTTTTCACTTCCTCCAATTGGAGCTACGTTTGCTAAACAAACGCTCAGATCGCTCCTATCTTATTGGTCGAGCAGCGTTCTGGTGTGACGCTAGGGTTTACGCCGACGTTGGGGGCGGTGAAGGAGGGGCGACTCTAATGGCGCATCGCAGTCCGACAGATCCTGCTCTCCACAAATAAACAACAGTAGCGCTTCACGATCTGGCCTCGTTTGTACTTTTGCCAGTTGCACCGCGCTGCAGCCGCGCATTGCGCTTTTGCTCATTGAGCAAACCGCCCGGGCTTCTTCTTAGCGGCTGCTTGGAGCACAGAGGCCCAGAGGAAAGACGGAGGATCGGTGAGTGTGCAAACATGTTACCATCTGTTTAAATGAACAATGTTTCTGCTCCGAGTGTTACTTAGTACGTTAAAAGTATAGTTCATACACAAAAGGACATGCGTCCTCATTTAATCACACCAGAGTTGCTTCAGATCTGCAAGACTTAACGTTATTTCTTTCAAAGAACACAAAAGATGTTAGGTTGAATGTTAAAGATTGAAAGTGAACGGGTCGACTGACATAACGTTAACGTTACTGCCTGACATCTGCGCGTGTGTTCAAAGTCATAACGTAACCTTACAGGATTGAAATGAAATGAGGGTGTGTTAATAATGAGAATATCCAAGTCAAATATGAAAATATCCGAATTATTTACAATGAGTCGATCATATAACGTTAACGTGCTCGAAGTAAGAGATGGCGTGTCAGAGGCAAGCTTTGTTTGATTTTAAAACATTTTTAGACCCTTAACTGTAAAGCCTGCCAAATGAAATGTTAGTCAGACAAACAGGACAAGAGAAATGACAAATTAGCATAAACATTTTTTTAAATTAAACTCTCATTTGACACCTCAGGCTTTTATGGCACATAGTGTCAGTTAAGCATTAGATAACATCTTGGTTAAGATAGAGGTAAAGTTGGTTTTATATTTGCACATTTATTCATTTAAAATTCCCTATATTGTTTATCATGTTATGTACAATATTTGATCAGAGTTAGCATGCAAGTATGACTACTAAACAACAGTAACAAACTATCTAATTCACTGTGAACGATGCTGTACTTTGATAGTCATTGGCTGCTTATATGATTTCCCTATCTAGAATTCACAAAGAATACTTTTCTGAAATTATATTATTAAGGAGAATGTTTGAATATCCGAATATAAATCAACTTCTATTTGGTTTAGTCCCAGAGCTCTGAGGGTCAATGAAGATTATAAATGCATTTATTTGTGTACAGTAACCAAGAAGAAGATGACAAGTAACGGCAGTCCTGAGCTTCATCAGTCTATATTATATGTTTTCTAATATTCATCAGTCTATATGAATTCATGGAGTCTAAAAATATATAATATATTTTATTTAATATATAAACAATATAATTTTTAGTCATATTTGCCTGAAGGTTTATATTTTAAGAATTCTATTTAAGTGGCTTTCAGTTGCTAAAATTTATTATTCAAACACGTTATATCTAACAAGTTCTAACTTCTAAGACATCTAAGAAAGGTTTATATATCAAGTTTGTGTATTTCAGTTTCACTGTAGCATTTAGAACTAAATGTAAACCTCCTTGTTCCTACATAATCCAAGTTTGATAAGTTAACCTTTATTTTAACGTGTTTTACTTCTTTATAGATAATATGTAACAAGCGACAAAATGACATCAAGATTTAGTAAAACGTACACGCGGAAGGGAGGAGAAGCCAGCTCAAAGTTTGACGAAGTGTTCTCTAACAAGAAAGCTACACTCACCACCAAATGGGGAGAGTCCACCTACAAGGCGCATTTGGGCATCAAACGACCCTCATTCAAGCCAGATGTTTCAGAGCTGACCAAACGACCCCGCTTTGATGATGACGACAGCTCAGAGGATCCGTTTGGCTTTGACAGCGATGATGAGTCCAAAACAGTCACATCCAGAGATACTGCTCAATCTGAGATGGACTCGGATACTGCAGGACCCAAGAATGAGCAGTTAAAGACCCGGATGGAAAAGCCCAGCGGGGGGACACTGGTGACCAGTACTTCTTCCTTGGGGAGTAGTACAAACATCAGCAGAGGGGCGGTTGGCGTGAATAGCCCAGGTAAGAAATCTGTTAAATCAGCGCATCATTATTGCAACAACACTTGTGTGGGATATTGTACACCAATATGAAAATGATCATACACGAGTAGACATCTCAAGTTATTTCAATTCTGTATGACTTGCTTTGTTTTTTGTGCTAAGGGTGTTCAGAACTGGTTAGTGAATGATTCATTCTTCAGTTTTGTGAACTAGATCATCTAATGTATTGAAGGATCAAATTCTAAGCACTTTTTTTATCATGAATGTGTCCAAAAAAGTAAGAAACGCAAAGTTTTTTTGTTGGTTTTCTGAAATTAAAATTTTCAATTTAATCTCTTTAATCGCTTTTTTACATGTCACTTTTATAATGTAGATTGTCAAAGCAGCTTAATCTAAAATTTCTAGTAAATTGAAACAGTGTCAGTCCAGTTTTCAGAGTTGAAGTTCAGTTAAGTTTTGTTCAGTTCAGTGTAGTTTAAATTTCACTGCTGGAAGTCCAAATACTGAAGAGCAAATCCATCGATTGGTGGCTCTACATGTACCAAGCCAAGTAAGCCAGTGGCGAGGAACAAAAGTTCACCAATTGACAAAAGTGAAGAAAAAAAAACTTTGAGAGAAATTCCACCCGAAATGTTTTAAGCTTTTAAGAAGTTTAATACATTGTAAAAACAATCCATATGAATCAAAGTTTAACTCATATCGTCTTAAAACACATGATCATTGGGAATCTATTTAAAGTATAGTTCAGTTCATTCTTCATCTGTTGAACTTAAGACTTATTTTAGTTGAAAGTTGGGTTCTTGGTGATTCAATAAACTTGAAGTTAATTGATATTGAAGTATGGATATACTCTTGGTTCTCATTTGAAGTATTATGGAGTGAAATTATCAGTTTAAAATAGTGCTGGATCAATCAATGCTCTCGCAAAACGATCATTTCACTTCTGTAGACCCCAGTGTATCAGCAGGAGCTGTGGGAAATTGATTTAGTTTTGCCACTTTTTTTTAATGTGCTTGTAACATTTTACTCGCAATGAATCACTTTGTAAAAGCTAATAAAATCCTTCAAATGAAACTATATTAAAAATGTCTATATATATATATATATATATATATATATATAGATAGATAGATAGATAGATAGATAGATAGATGGATGGATGGATGGATGGATGGATGGATGGATGGATGGATGGATGGATGGATGGATGGATGGATGGATGGATAGATGGATAGATGGATAGATAGATATGCATGTACTGAAGATTGAGTGTGTATAATCCTAAAGGAACAATTAGATGCTCATTATTGCACACAAAATGATGTCATGGGCTTATTACATGTTACTAACTATGACCTTCTAGATCACCTTTAGTCAGACCCATATTATAGTGTCATTACAGTGAGCTCATGCTTTTGTGTTACAAGGGGTGATGAGGTCACTGTGTTTCTGCAGCAGGTTATACTGGTTTTCTCCAGTGCTGAGAATAGCTGCTGTAGTCTTTGCTCTGTGATCGAGGTGCTCATGCAAGCACTCTGGCATGGATTCTGGGGCTCAGCAGGATATTTTCAGCCCTGTGCAGTTCAACACTTTCCCTTAGCTCTTTAGCAAGGCTAATTACAACCATTAGAGGAGCAGTGAAACAAGGACTCAGGTTGTGAGAACCCTCGGAGGATCATAAAGCTTCTAATAGTTATAATTATATCTATATTTTGGGTAAACCTTTATTATGATGTTTGAAGTAAAATTTACACACCCACTTTATTTCTTTTGTGTTATAGAAATGAAGATATTTTGAAGAATTTAAGTTTGTTAAAAGCACTGTAAAATCCTGCTAAAATTGTTCTTGTGACTAATGTGTCCTTGACAGATTCATGAGCGTGATTCATGAACAAGTTTTAATAAACAAGGCTTAATTTCGTAAATTCAGCTCACAGGAACCCTAATTGAATCATTCATGATCCAAATCTCTCTGTGCTCAATTGAAAAAGTATCCTTTTAAAAATTCAGGGTTGCAACATTTAGCTTTTTTTGATGTACTATATTGCATAAATTATGCATTAATATGTTGCAGAAGTTTATTATATATATATATATATATATATATATATATATATATATATATTATTCAGTAGGGTATTTAATACTATGTAACAAACATTGAAGTTTAAACCGTACTGTGGGATGTCTGTTTTATCATTGATAGAGGTTATATTTAAACAAACATTATATTTTACATATATTGACATGACATTGTGACAGTTTTTTTTTTTTTTTTTGGAAAACCAAATACACATACACACACACAATTGTATTTTTTATATATTTGTATTATATTATAAGAATAGTTTCCCATAATTCTGTATTTTGTAATTCTATAGTATGTATTTCAACAAAAGTTTTTATTTAGTTGTTTTTATGTTTGTATGTAACCAACAACAATTGATCTATATAATATAGTTGTTCAGGCTTTTAACTTTTTATTTATAAAGAACCATTTTCTGTTTTATTTTATTCTGCATTTTCTGTTTTCATAACATGGTTCCAACAATTTTGAAACACAAGACACACCGCCTCAATATTTCTCTTTATCTTTGCAGCTAAAACTTCTCCAGCCTCTTCTTATGTCACTGGTACTGTAGGAACCTGGAGCAAATCCAATGTTACAGTAAGTAAACAGCTCTCCCAGGTCTCCAGCTTGAAGATCCCAAGTAGAGGCATCTCCAATGACTGGGACAGTTTTGGGGAGGACTCTCCTCCTGGAGCCGGTGAGGGCAGTTCTACTCAGACTAGTAACTCTTCTGATGAGCTCAAGAGTGCAGAGCAGTGCCCTGCTGAACCTGAACCGCCAGTGGAGCAACCTGTTGACTTTGAGCAGCTTCCGCTTCTTAAACCATCTAGCGACAGAGTGTACAGACGACCACGGGGTAAAGAGACCGAAAGTTCAGCTGCTGGAGATACAATTCCTGCTGTGAGTTCGGTGTCAGCTCCTGCACCAGTGATGAGCAGCAATGCAGGGGTTGCTGGGAGTTCTGGGGTGAAGCCTCCTGCAGGTCGGGGTAGAGTGAGGGATTACACCGTTCTTCACCCGTCTTGTGTGTCCGTGTGTAATGTGACCATCCAGGACTCCATTGAAAGGAGCGTGGATGATTTTGTTATGCCAGTGCAAGCTGACATTGGAGAAGCAGGAACCTTCAGGAGGAAAGCAGACACACAGGCTCCTAAACCTACCAGGTACAGTCCAAACATGCTCTTTAGTTATTCAATTTAACCAGTTTTTATTATTAGAACATTAAAATAGGGTTGTCGCAATATCTTTAATTTACATTACGATACTATACCAGCTGAAGTATTGGGTTTACAGATAAGTATTGCGATACTGTAATTCATAATTCAAATCTATGAATTGTCAGAAGTGTATATTTTAGATGTTATAACAGGCCTACTTAAATTGAATACATAATTCCCTTATTATTGAAAAAAGTATTTGCACATCATTTCACCTAATATGCATTGGTTCTTTTTGTTTATTTTGTAGATGACTGACCAACAAAAGATACAAATTATACTGTACGAAATTCGTAAAAAAAAAGAGCAAATTTGGCTAAATGAAGTGGTCAAAAAAATGTCAACGTTTCCTGTTGCTTTTTTGGGTTTTTTCTCTATTATTTTATTTGCCTTATCAGGTAAGAATCCAAAGTAATTTAAAATTTTACTTTGAGTTTTTCTTTTTAAGAGATTGTTACGGTTGCTGTAGCTACTAAATCATATTGACAGGAACAGAAATGAACTGGTTCAGTTGTGCGTTTGAACTGAAGCATCAGAAAACGTGCATTAGGCTACTATAAAAGGCGTGAATTCTACACAGTTTTACTACCTTAAAGATCTCCACTGACTATTTAAATAAAATGGTCTATTGTTGCACAATCATGTGAGCATTTTAGTCCACATGCAACATTATGTATTGTAGACTTGACCGTTAATGACGAAACTACTGTTTACAAAGTACAGCCAATATTTTGGAGCCATAGTATCACGATACAACCGTAGTACCTTTAAACCGTGCAACCCAACATTGAAGTGAAGTAAGTATGGTTACACATTACTCTGAATTGGTCCTCTGATTTTAACCTATCCAAGTGCATATACGCAAGTGAGAATTGATAAACCTCGCATACACCCAGTGAGCATACACCCTGAGCTATTGCTTCCAGTGCCAGGGAAGTAATTGGGGATGAGGTATCTTGGTCAGGCACCACAGCTAGGTATCGAAGATGAAGATAATTCTTTCCCCTCCTCTTCAATTTCAGCTGGAATTGGGAATTGAACCTTTCAATTACACGTTCAACTTTTAACCATTAGGCCACAACTTATTTATTATGAACTTAATCTTAATGTGTCACCTTTGCACACACTAAGGTTTAAAAATGGTTTCAAATGAAATTATTTTTTGATAAGATCTTAAACAATAATTTATTTCTCTATATTGTCCTGTTTCTAGTGCAAAATGTACATACAGTTGACGTCAGAATTATAAGCCCCCCTTTTTTGTTCCTTTTTTTTTTAATTTCCCAAATTATGTTTAATAGAGCAAAGAATGCTAAAATAAAAGCAGTTTTAAATTTTTTGTCACTTTAAGCTGTATCGAAGTGTCTTGAAAAAGATCTAGTAAAATTATTTTCTGTCATCATGACAAATATAAAATAAATCAGTTATAAAAAATAAGTTGTTAAAACTATTAAGGTTAAAAAATGTGTTGAAAAAAATTTCTCTCCATTAAACAGAAATTAGGGAAAAAATAAACGGAGACTTCAACTGTATATATATTTTTTTGAAAACGTAACACAATTTTCTTTGAGTTTGCTTGAACCGAAAATGAATATCTGTCAAGGTGTTATGAAAATGCCTGTTTGAATTAAGCAATAGTTCATAGTGTCGCAAATGTGAACATAACTTGCAGCAAAAAATATTTTCATATTCTCACATTGTGTCTAATGAAGTAATTATTATTTATTTAGCCTTACATTGTTACATATTAGAGTCATTAGTGTTTTACAAACAGAAGAAGATATTTGTAATAAAGTTTAAGAAGTTTCTTTTTGACAGCCCACACAACTACCATTTTCAAGGCTCAAAAGAGTAGTTAAACATCACTGACCCACCCTGGAACCACTTCACTTCAACTGTAATAATAATTTATTCCTTACATTTTTATAGCGCTTTTCTGGACAGTCTAAGCATCTAACACATTTTTTGGGGGGAAATCCTCATCCATCACAAGTGTGCAACATATTGTGCCAGACCGCACACCACACACCAGCTGATTGGCGAAGAGGAGACATAAAGCCAATTATGAAATGGGGATGGTTGGTAATCTATGATGAACAGAGGCCAGTGGGCAAATTTGGTCAGGATGCCGGGGTTAAACCCCCACTTTTTTTCTAATTTTTAATGACCACAGAGAGTCATGACCTCAGTTTAAAGTCTCATCCAAAAGACTGCACCCACTGAACAGTATGGAGTCTCTTTCAATATACTGGGGCGTTAGGAGCCACACAGACTACATGTTGAGCGCCCCCTGCTAGTCTTACTAACACCACATCCAACAGCAACCTAGCTTTCCCATGTAGTCTTCCATCAAGATACTGACTAGGTGCAGCCCTGCTTGACTTCAGTGGGCGACCATGTGAGCGCTGCAGAGAACTAGATACTGGGAAGCTCTCTGTCTCTCTCCCTTAGTTTATCAAATGCAAATCATTCAAAAAGTATTTGCAAAATTATTTCTTTAAAAAATGAAAATCTTTTTAAAATGATTTCAAGTTTTACATTGAAACCACTGTATATTAACATGGTTTAAAAAAAAAAAAAGCATGTTCAGTCATCTAAATGTCTGTCTTCATGTCTTCCTCTTTACATTAATTTAGGTTTAGACCCACTCAGAGCAAAAGTAAAAAGGAGACAAAACTGGAGTTTTTTGGCTTTGAAGAGAACGAGGCTCAGGACGCAGATGGAGACGCCACTGGCTCTGGCAGCACCAGCTACAAGATCAAATACTTTGGTTTTGATGATCTGAGTGAGAGTGACAGCGAGGATGATGATGATTCAGCAGCTAGAGAGAGGAAAAAGAATAAGAAAGCAGAGGCAGAGGCTTTGTCAACCGGCACAGGAAGTCCACAGTTCAGCGATTCGCAGGAAAGTCAACAGAGTCAAAGCAGCCTAAGTACAGGTACCCTTAATAAGACATCTATGGTAATGCAACTATTTAGCAGAACATCATGGGAATTTATCATTTGTTGAGCAATCTCTGGATTTGTGTGGATTTTCTTTTTTTCTTTGTCAGATTCTCAGGAGTCACTGGATGAAACGGGAGCTACGGGTTCACAGAAAGAACGACACAGAAAGCAAAGCAACAAGTCAAAGGAGATCGGCCGCAAGATCTTCAGTGGACCAAAAAAAGTATGACTAAAGAGCGTCAGCAGAAACTGTCCACTTTATTATCTTTTTACTTTCATTTCCAACATTCAATTTTGTACTCCTTTGCTTTGTGTGTGTTGAATGCAGTCTCCTGCTAAAGCTGTATACAACGCTCGTCACTGGAATCAGCCTGAGTCGGAGGAAGTTCCATCTCCTGCTTCTCATACTGTGGCTGTACCGGTTTGTAAAATAACTCGTTCAGGATTTCTGAACTTATAATGGTTTATAACGTGTATAATGAATAGCTTATAACGATTTTCTTGCACATTTAATTGTTATTTTGGCCTTACAGAAGCCAAGTGCATCCAGCAGCAGCACAAGCAGCAGCAAAGACACAAATTCCCATAAAGATGATGGAGTGTTTAAAGCTCCACCGCCTCCACCTAAAGTCATCAAGTCTGTCACCATCCCCACTGAGCTGAACCAGGACATCGTCACTGCACTGAAATGCAGGAAGGAGCACAAGGAGGTGAGCACTACATGCGTGGATTTAATGTGGGTTTAGACTGTTGTCATGAAAGTGAATATATTTACTTATAGACCATCATTTATGCCATCATTATTGAATAGTGCTTTGAGATCCAGTGAGAAGAGGTTGAGTCTGATTGCCAACAATTACCATGTAGTAGAGTAAATGTAAGTTCTATTAAATGAATACTTTAGACATATATTAAAGAAGCAATTTATTGGAATATCTAATTTTGGGTAATAAACAATGCCATTTTTTGTGGATTTGTATTTATGCTAGTATATTTTAGCAACCATATTGGTTTTAGGCTCTATTATAACAAATACTATGAAAAATATGCAGTTACGCCTCTTTTTAACATTGTGCATTCCTGAATATGTTCAATGTGAATGACTTGACAGTAGCATTCTTGGGGATGCACTAAGTAAACTTAATCTGTTAAATATGCATTTCGAAGAGAACAAAACAAATGTATACATATATATATTACACATGGAATGCCACCAAATCAGTTGCTTGGTGCCACTATCTCTAGAAGTTTCAAAAACTGACTTTAAATGTTGGCGACATTTTTATATATATATTTTTATTTTTTATTATTTATGCTTTAGTTAAGGTAGCGCATCTTTTTGTATAAATAGCAACACAGACTTTTTAATGTAATGTAATCTTTGTGTGTGTGTGTGTGTGTGTGTGTGTGTGTGTGTGTGTGTGTGTGTGTGTGTGTGTGTGTGTGTGTGTTTGTGTTTGTGTGTGTTTGTGTTTGTATGTGTTTGTGTTTGTGTTTGTGTTTGTGTGTGTGTGTGTGTGTGTGTGTGTGTGTGTGTGTGTGTTTGTAGTTGTATACAGTGGTCCAACATGTGAAGCACTTTAATGATGTGGTGGAGTTTGGGGAGAATCAGGAGTTCACAGATGACTTTGAGTATCTAGAGACGGGCTTGAAGAGCACACAACCTCTCAACACACGCTGCCTTAGGTGAGAGAGTATTCAGCACTATTTGCAGCGTCATGTCTGTAGTTTTGAATGTTGCAGAAAATCATGTCAGTACAACCAAAATATTCATTTGCAACACACTTTTGAGAAGGCATACACCATTTAGTTTTTAAATATGCTAATATATGATGAAGTTTTGAAATCATTGTGTTGCAAATTATTATTTTTCATTTATTTAGCTTTATTTGTTTACTTTCAGCACATGAATATTGAGCTTCAAACTTTTTTGGGTGTTATTCAAGATTATTTGCCTGAATATGTCAATGAATGTTTTTTTTAATTGTAGTATTTTATTGATATCTTAAACTAGTCATTCATTTAATATTTTTATTCTAGTCATTTTTTATTAGCTTTTTTAGTTTTAGTAGGTTTTGTACATTAAACTTTTTTTGTACAGTGTTTAATTTTTAATTGAACATTTTTTAAATTAAATTGTTATTTTATTTAACCTTTATCTTATATTTTTAGTATACAATTACATCTCAATTACATTGGCATCTCTTCAAATACACTTCAAAAAGCCTTCCCACTCACAAACCCACACGTTTATCACAGAAATCTGTTTTCTTCTTCCATTTCTGACTGCAGTATAATCAGTCTGGCCACACGCTGTGCCATGCCAAGCTTCCGAATGCATCTGAGAGCCAGAGGGAAGGTGGCGCAGGTCTTTAAGATGCTCAGTGATGCTCAACAGCACCCGGTGAGTGTCTCATCCACTGCCTAACCAGCAAACCAACTAATCTGTATAACAGAGCGCGGTTTCAAACAATCACAGCTCTATCATTATGAACACAGCTACAGTGCAGTGTGGAAAAACAGTTTGTTTACTTCATTAGTATACATTAATTGGAGATGTAATCATCTCTGCCAGCGGATGAGCGAGAAATGCAAACAGGCGCTGAGCTGTTACACTGGAAATCTGCTTAGTTCACTTTACACAGATGCTGTGTGGATGTTTGCCTTAACTCTTTCTGCCTGACTTAAGTGTGTTTGTAATTAATTATTTTTAAAAAATAATAATGCTAATAAAAAGAACTAAATCCACCAAATGAATAAAGACAGATTTGTTAAAAAAACTAAATCCACCTTATGAAGCAAAGGATGGATGGTTTATATATATATATATATATATATAAATATAAATATAAATATATAAATAAAAAAGTTTTTTTCAAAAAATGCTCCATTTCCACACTATTGTTTAATTATTTTAGTTATTTTCGAAAAAATGGTCATCCACATTAAAGTGACTGAAATGCTTTCATTCATGTATTGCGCATGCACACAAATGCACAGATGTAAGACGATTTTACCTGCATCAAATCCGCATAGCATTTGTTTATATGACATCTCTTTTACGTCTATTTCCACAGCTGAACAATAGTTCCCAGTCAACATTCTGTGTGGGGCTGCACGATATTGGAAAAGAATTTACATTGTTATTGTTAATTAAATATATGAACAATATCAAACTCGTAGCAGTGTGCTATGGCTGTATTTTAGCACTGGGGGAAGGCGTGCATTGCGATATTACCTTTTATACAACAGTTCGACGGCACAATCTTGTACATAAAAAAGATAATCAAACACAGAGAATCTAAAACCCTTTTGTATTGGGAACTACTTTCTTCCGCCATTTATTCACATTTGCAGCTGATGTCAGAACAGCAGCTGCCGTTACTAATTCACCAACTTTACTTTAGAAATGGTGTTTGAATGATTCTCTATAGCGTAATGCGAAGCGGCGCTTCTGCTGTGTGACCCTCTAAGGTGATGACAAAACAGCAAATTTTGCTCACATTTTAATATTATAAGGCTAAACGTGACATGAAATGCCCTCCGTCTACAGAGCATTCTTACCAGACTGCTGTTGTGTTTGCATTAAGCAGGGACGAGGCTGAATCCAGCTTCTTATTCGCAGCTTCTTATTGACTATCAGGTCCACCTTAACTACGAAGCTTCCGTTTTTCAGCTTTTTAATTCATGTTCAAGAGAACACCAAGCAAGGGCTTATGCGATTCTGGCGCCATCTTGTGGATTGACAACTTCAACTGCTGCAGACGAGCTCTCAGAAATTGTAAATATTTTAAAATAGGCCCTATTCTTACAAATAAACTGCGTAGTTGCAATCTATCCTTACTTAACTTTGCATGTCTTGCGATGTGACTATTTCAGACGCACACATTGCGATAACAATGCTCATATTATATATTGTGCAGCCCTAATTTTATGTCCTTTGAAGAAAAGCATGTACAAGCAGACATTCATAAAACTGTCAAAATGGACAGCATTCAAAACATCTTTATAGTGTTGTCCACCTTGTTAGCTGAATTGGTCACTGGACTGTCACATTCATCATCGTTTACACAGTTCACATTGCACCACAGAGATTACTTTTTTTAAATGTATATACTTTGGACAGCAATTTCGAAAAGAAATGTCTTCTTAATGGGCACATAAGGCCAAAATGGAGAAAAAAAAGGCATTTTTAAACAAACGTATTGGTCGGGACATGGCGTTATGTCTGTTGTGGTAAAGCCAAGCATATGCTGTGCATTTTCCTTCCAATATCATCAAGGAACCAACTCCTACTGTATTAGAAGATCACATGTGATGTAAATCCAAAATTCTTGATTTATGTACTCACGATATGCTCCGATTGTCAAGTTGCACCTTGAAAACTGCTCACACTATAGGTGTGAAACCAACACATCGCACCCCCTTGAACCCAGAAGTGTGTGACTTTTTCTGAAGACGAAACAGCAGAAACCGTTAATTCACCAACTTCACTTTAGAGCTAGTGTTTAAATGATTCTCAGGCCCGTTTACACTAGTGCGTTTTAGTTTTAAAACAGCGTTTTAGAATGAAAACGATCCGCGTCCACACTCGCGTTTTACCCAGCGTTTCTGAACTGCTCTCCATCCACACCAAAACGCTGAAAACGCACATCACGTGACCACACAGACACTCTCGGGCAAGCGCTGCAGCCCATCTACCTAGATAAGAGCTGTGCTAGTCGGACTTCTCATCATAGCATCTCCCGCTGAATCTAATCTCACTATATTTATTAAGCGGGATATTTCATTCATCTTGTTGTCTTTATCTAACGACATGTTCCCTGACTTTGGTCATTGGAATCTATTACTTGTTCTCGGGTAACGTGTTTTGGCTAAGCGCAAAGATAAGTTAATGATTAATGTAACCACGTAGCCTACATTATGTATATTGACTGATCGCTTGCCTTTATTTCCTATAATGTATAAACTTATTGTATGTTACACTTTTATAATGGCAATTATCGATTATTAAAACTGATAATCAGCAAAAGAGACAGTATGTTTCGTATTTTCACTGATATTGAAAGGAGACAGTTGTTATCGGCTCCGTTTTGTTATAAATATCCACACAGTGTAGATGACGGTCATGCAGCACGACGCCTCAACATTTCTGCTGTCTTTGCTAATATTAAAATGAAAATAGGCAGTTCATTAAATCATGTTTACATTTTATTGTTGAGAAAGTGAAACAACGTAGCCAGGGTGATGTGAATGAAGTTATAAAGTACACTGTTCCCTTTGAAGATTTACCCGTGTCCTCGGTATAGTCTGTTTTCCATATCAAACTGAGAAGAAGAGACTGCAGCCTTGATCAAACTTGCGAAGTCTGAACTTACAAGCAGAGGATGCAGGACTGAACTGTGTTAGGCTACTTAATATTGAGGAAAAGCCCCAATCAGAGAGGCGAATGTCTGCAGCCCCGCCTCCGTTTTCAGATGTCTCCGTTTTTGCTCATCCACACTGAGACGAAGCAGCAGCGTTTCAGAATGAAAATGGCCTCTCCAGAGTTTTCGAAACGCTCCGTTTTCGGCGCTCGAGAACTCCGGCGTAGTGTGGACGGTTGGCGTAACCGTAGCAAAACTTATGCGTTTTCAAACTAAAACGCATTAGTGTAAACGGGGCCTCAATGGCATAATGTGAAGCGGCGTTCTGGTGTGTGAACCCCTTAAGTTGATTACAAAACGGCAAATTTTTCTCACATTTTAAGATTATAAGGCTAAACATGACATGAAATGCCATCCGTCTACAGAGCTTTCTCACCTGACTGCTGTTGTGTTTGCAATAAGGAGGGACAAGGCTGAATCCAGCTTCTTATTCGCAGCTTCTTATTGACTCTCTCCGGTCCACCTTAAAAACCACGAGGCTTTCGTTTTTCAGCTTTTTAATTCGTGCTCGAGAATGCTCCGAAATATGCTTTCAAGGGAAAAACATGCTGACTTGGCGAAATCAGCATTTCTTGTGCAAAAAAGGCATAGATGTATCTGGATGTGTAGGTGGTTTGAAAAAACATTGGAGGTTTGTTTTATCAATATTGTTTTCATGCAGGGGCAGTGGGAACAGAAACAACTCTTTTTGTGCCCCCCTGAGCAATGTATGAACAGCACAACAAAGTATATGCATGGCAGCTAAAATTTATACCAACTGAAAGTGTTACAGAATTCATAATTTGGCTTAAAAACAGACCGATATCACAGTGTATACCCAGAGTAATGTTACAACATTTGCTTTCTCTTTCTCTCTTTTACCTTGTTTCTCTGATTGTGATAGAATATGGCTCTCTGCACGGCGTCTCTGATGTATATATTGAGTCGAGACCGGCTGAATATGGATCTGGATCGGTCTTGTCTGGAGCTGATGATCCGGCTGCTGGAAATGGAGCAGGACGACTCTGTAGCGGACCAGTTAACAGCTAAAGAGATGAGCAAAGTAAAAGAGAAAATCAGGAAACTCTGTGAAACAGTCCACAACAAGCATCTGGATCTGGAGAACATCACAGTGAGTGACTTCTGTTTTTCACAACTTGCATGTCAATACAGACCCAGAAAATCTATGAATGTTTTAGGAGAAATGTCCTTCTGATCACCTTGGCTTTGTTCAGAGAGGCGGCAAAAATCTGTTTTTTTGTTTTATTCTTTGTAGACTGAACAACAGCATAGAAAACCAAATGCAGTCTTTGGTGCGTGTTCTTATTGCTTTTGACAGGTTTTACCTTCACGCACATTGCATATTTTGTAAACTGTTCAAAAGTTTGAGGTCTGTAAGAAGTTATGTTTCTTTTTCTAACTGTTTAGACACAAGTCATTCATGCTCATATTCTTGTGAATATTCAGCAGTCTTCAATGTCATGTATCCTTCAAAAATATATGTAATAATAATTTGCAGATTCTGCACTTAAGATGAAGTTCACATTAGGGCTGAACAATATATCATTTTTGCATCGATATCGCAATGTGCACATCTGCAGTAGTCGCATCGCAAGATATGCAATGTTAAGTTTGTGTTGGTGGATTATAATTGAGCAAGAGCCATACATTTTGAAAACATGATAGTTTCAGAGTTTAACCATAGTGAAAGTTTATCATCCGTGTGTGTTTTTAAGGCCTGTTACTGTGCATTGAGAAACCCCAAATTGTACCGTTTGTAACTGTAAAAGCACTGTAGTATTTCACTTTTTTTATCTTTGCTTTATTGTATTTATTACTGTTTCTAAATTGTTTATTATGTTTTATGCATAATTCACACCCACAATATTCCAAAATCAGTCTAAATAAATTATTTTTAAAAAATAGAACTATTCAAGCTGTCTCAGGGCTCTAGAGTGCGACCTAATTTCTCAATGTTGTGACAAAAAAAATTGAAGGTCACACCGGTGTGACCAGCTATTCAAATGTTAAAAAGGTCTTTGTAATGGTGGTTATGGATTGTGCTGATGGATTGTCACCTAAGAAAAAAGTGCACTAGCGCAGAAAACAGTTACACGCACAAGTGCAACCAAAAGGTCAGTCTGGAGCCCTGTATTAGGTGAAGTTGTATCCATATGGCAATATATATTGCAGAAATGTATATCGCAATGTCATATTTTTCCAATATTGTGCAGCCCTATTTCATGTTATTATAAATGCTGAAAACATTGTGCATTTTAAATATATTTGTGTTATAGCTTCACAAACTTTTCAGGATACTTCAGATAGAGTAAAAAAACAAGACTCAATAAAATGTATTACAAAAATATAAATGTCATTACAGTCACAATCAGTTCCTTGCATTCTTACTGTGAAAAAAAAATATGTGTGGGTGTGTATGTGTGCATTTCAAAAATTAACTGACCCAAAACTTTTGAACTTGTGTAACAGGCCTGTTAGATAAGTGTTTTTGTCAGTTCACATTTATAAAGTGCTACTAAAGTAAAAAAAAAAAAAACTAATTGCAAATAATTGTATTATTTATTTTTATTTTATTTTTTACTTTATGTGCTCATCTCATTTCTTAATTTCAGACTGGTCATTTAGCAATGGAAACGCTGCTGTCTCTGACGTCGAAGCGAGCTGGAGACTGGTTTAAGGAGGAGCTGCGTTTACTTGGGGGACTGGACCACATCGTAGATAAAGGTGTGTATCTCTTTTCTGATTTATACATTGTGTATATCGCTATCTGATTTATATTTGTGAAAGGAATGGTTAGCAATGACTTTTTCTCCTCAGTAAAAGAGTGTGTGGAGAACTTGAATAAAGAAGAAGATAAAGAGAGTCTAGTGGCGTCACTCTGGGGAGCAGAACGCTGCTTGCGAGTTCTGGAGAGCGTGAGTGCACAACATGCTAGATGATCAAATCGTAATTGGTGTTGCTTTTCTTTGAAAATGCCTGCAGTAATTGCATAATATCACAGACTGTAGAATAAAGTGTTGTCAATGTGTAAAAAATAGAGGCTGAGAGATATACAAATCAAGTACTTAAGCAAAAAAAATAAATAAATAAAGTCCTAAAAATAAAAATTAAGTATTTGCATTAAGCAAATTATATTCTAATATTATAATTACTTGATCATTTTATGTACTTGACTAATTAAGTTTGAAGTATTGATTGATGAATGTTTTTAACAAATATGGAATTTGATAAAGTATAAGTTTACCTAAAATAAAAACATTTCAAAGAACACTTTGAAAAAGAACAAACAAATGGGGTATAAAAACGATTACAAGATATTAAAAAAAATCAATATAGTGACTAAGTACTGTCCACAACTAGATAACTTTTGTCGTTTTTTTTTTTTAATAAATTAACCAAACATAATGAAACTTGACATTTTTCTTTAAAAAACACCCTTATAGGCTAATTAAGCTCTCAAAATTACAAGTTGTTGCATTACATTTGACAGTCTTTGAGGACGATGCATGATAAATCTTTGCGTAATTCATTTAAAATCTATTTCTCTTTTATGTGCAGGTTACAGTTCATAACCCTGAGAACCAGGCTTATCTGATTGCCTACAAAGACTCCCAGCTCATAATGTCCTCAGCAAGGTGTGTGTGACTTGTGTATTGTAGTCACTGTGCTACTTTGTGTGACACGCATTTGTCATTGCACGGTTGCGCTTTGTGTGTCCAGGGCCCTGCAGCACTGTGAGCAGATGATCCAGCGTTACAGCCGAGAGGTCTCTTCATCATCGAGCTCTACACTCCCGCAGAGCAGTCACAGTAATGTGGGCAAAGCCGTGGAGGATTGCATGAGAGCCGTGATCGGAGTTCTGCTCAACCTCACACATGATAACGGTGAGACCCTGATTAAGTCGTGACTGGAAAAAAATGACTCCTGGCTTTCCCCATACTGGATTTATAAATGTGTTCTTTTTATTGCACATATAATATTTTGTTTATTTATAATGATTCACTCTTAAAGAAAGCCCTCATATGTTTTTCCTTTTCAGAGTGGGGAAGCACTAAAACAGGAGAGCAGGACGGCCTGATACTGACCGCTCTGGACTGTGTTCTGAAGGTCCCGCGCTATTTGCCTCAGGAACAGAGATTTGATATCCGTGTACTGGTGAGACTTCATGACATTAACTATCAGAATCATTGACTTAAGAATTCATAACTCTTTTTAGGTATACTTACTTACTGTTAACAATATGAGTATTGTTTTAAAAGTCATAAATGTTCGAAAGTCTTGTTATAACACTCCAGGGTTTTTTCAACGAGTGCCCTTTAACAGAATAAAGGAATAGTTCGGCCAAAAATGTATACTTTTCTTTTTTTCTTCAATTTAGATAAAGATTTTGTTGAAACAGTGGTCCTTTGTTTTTATAAAATGCAAGCCAGTGTGCACCTGCACTTTTAGAGCCAAACAAAAAAACAACATATCGAGCAGGGGTCTCGAACCCAAGTAACTGACAATTCACAGGAGGGCCGTTTTAACATTCAAGCACAACAAAAAAGTGGAAACCTGATGTAATTGATGCACTCAGACATCCTTTACTGACTATTGCTCTACTGAGTACCTTTCTTTTTTATAAAGCTACAACAAAAATAGGAAAACTGTTAACACGTTTATTTCAGCGAGGAGTAAAACTTTACATAATGCACTTTTTAAAAAAATCATCTTATTATGCAAATGAGGAAAATCTATTAAATTAGTTAATTTGAATCAGAAATTAGCAAACTGATCATATTTACACCACCAGCACAACGTGTAAGCCATGAAGATGTGTTTGTTCAACAAAATAGAGGTAGTATAAAACTGATTATAATTAAATGACCCTTTAATATTTACATAAATAGAGCTTTAGTAAAAATAGAGCACTCACTGAGATATATTTAAATTTAAATCAGCCCCAGAAATAATCTGCATGTGCTTTGTTCTCGACTGTAAGAAACTGAAAGTAAGCCGGATATAATGAACAGTGCTTTAAATGTCCAGTAGATGGGGGGTCAAAATCACAAGTGGCTATTTGTTACTGCACAACAATAAGTGGTTCAAAAATATGTTTTGTTGGGCTTAATCTCGTTACATTTTGATGTCAGTTGCGGGCCGGAGGGAGGAGGGGGAGAGGCTGCAAATGGCCTGTGGGCCAGCAGTTTGAGACCCCTTATATAGAGGCAAAACACAATCTGGTAACACTTTACAAAAAGGTTTTATTTTTGTAATGTGAACAAGTGGAGTTTTGTAAACTAATTTCGAGAGGATCATGATTGATCACGGCTGGTCCTGCATCAATAGCCTTCAATAAATAGCCCAGTTTATTTTACTTCTAGTATTTTCATTTTTGAAGGATTCACTCGCTTCCTCCTTTACCAAGGGGAACTCTCGAGACCTTCCTGATCTTGGACCCCCTTTTATGCTATACGACCAGGTGGGAGTCCTGGGCTCTAGTATCTCCGAGCTCAGAGTTCTCTCCCAGGACAGCATGCCAAACCTGTATTCAGTATCAAGTAATAGCAAAGTGTGAACTCTTAAAACAATAAACAACACTGTTAATACAGTATAGTTCAGTTGTTCATTGATAGTTGATGGTCACTCCCGGTGCATTATCTAACGTTAACAAGCATAAATTTGGATGTTCAAAGGACATATTTAAAGTCTGTTCAAATCCACCATTAAAAGTCTATATACACAATTTAGCATTTTAGCCAACAGTAGACCTACACATAGGCCTAATATTATTGTTGTTTTACTAAATGTTTGATAAATAACAATAAAAATAGCCTACTCGTATTAACCTTTATTTTACTTCTGCAGAATCGTGAGAAATTTTTGATCTTGATTTTATGCAAAAACATTGTGATTATCATTTTAGCCAGAATCATGCAGCCCTAATTTATATATGTTGAACTTTAATAAATAAATGTTGTACAAGTATTGTTCATAATCAGCTCATGTTAGTAAATCCATTAACTAATCATAGCTTATTATAAAGTGTGACTCCATAATGTATACCTGTGGCTCTTCTAATAAACTGAAGTCTTATGGAGTGAACCACTAAGTTTGTGCAATTATGACTTGCATTTTATGGACTAACATATTGAAAACAACATTTTAAATCGAACTTAAAATTTAATGTCCACTTTCAGAAAATTCCTTCTTTAAATCAGTGGTTCTCAAAGTGGGGGGCGGGACAATGACAATGACAAGGGGTCGCCTGGTGATTTCTAAAATTCAAATAAATTTGATTAAACTATTTGAATTAACATTTTATTCATAACCCACAGAAGATAGTTAATAGTTGCGTTAAAGAAACAACAACGTACAAACAAAAATCAGCCATTAGCTTTTAATTTTTATATTAAAATGTAATTAAATTAATAAATGACTAAAAAAAACATTATATGTTGCATTTATGTGTTGTCAATATGCTCATGTTTATATGAGCCTATAGTTGTGTCTGCAACGTTTATATATTTACAGTATAACCACTTTGAAAAATGGGGGTCGCGAGTCATTGACATTGTTATTTTGGGGGTCGCGGGCTGAAAAGTTTGGGAACCCCTGCTTTAAATCACTGTCAAGTATTTGGTTATTTTGATAATTGCTAGGTAAATGTGGATCATTGTCAAGCTTGAATAAAGGCACTGTATTATTTGAATGCATTAAACTGTATATTATTCATAGAGATACATTCTATATTAAAAAAAAACACATGTGACTGAGAGGGCTCATGCATACAAGTTAATTTAATTCAAATAGTGGGATGTTGTTTTCAGTTATTTTTGACTTAAGAAAATATTACTTGCGCTTAAGTTAGCAGGCTAAAAAAAAACTAACTCGAACGAAAAAATAAAAATAACAAATGCAAATCGCATATGCAGTCCTTCATGTTTAACAGTAGAATGAAATGTTACAAAACCATCTCTGACTTTCTATTATTAATTATACATTTAGCTTTAGTTCTGTGTTTTGATATTTGTTTTCAATCCACCATTTAAGTGCAGTTACAAAATTTGAGTATATACTCCACACCCGTTTCAGTAGCTCAGTGTCAGCTTGGTACTGAAGTGTGGGTGTTTTTGACTGAGGGCGTGTGACGGTGGTTTATCTGTGTGCAGGGTCTGGGTCTACTGATTAATCTGGTGGAGTACAGTGCCAGAAACAGAGAGTGTCTGGTGGAGATGGAGGTGGACATGAGCTACCTAATGGAGGCTGAGGCTGTCGTTAAGATAGAGAACGATGTGAAGACAGAGGAACAAAAACGCGATCAAATGGAAGAAGAAGAAAAGCGAAAAGCGACGCTAAAATCATTAAATGCCTTGGCTGCTCTGGTTCAGGTGACTAGCAGGAATCTCCATCTTTGACTTCTAGCAGTGTTTCTCAACCACAATTCTGGAGGAACACCAGTTTTACAAATGTGTTCTTAAGCAAGCACACCTGATTTAGATCATCAGCTTATTAGCAGAGACTAAAAGACCTGTAATGGTTGTGGAAGACAGAAGAGACATCCAAAATATGTAGTGTTGGTGGATCTTTAGGAACGTGGTTGAGAAACACTGACTTATAGGATTGTTTCTCCAAATGTTTACCTGTAAATCTGATATGTTTTAGTAAATCTTTATAAATGTGTTAGCCACTTATTGCAAGTATTTCTGTGGGTTTGTATGTGTAGCTCTTCCTCGAACGGGAGCGAGCAGCTGTGCTTGCTGAGGCACAGACTGATGACCTCATAAGTGAGGCACCCAAATCTCAGGCAGACCAGAGCGGAGAGTGGCAAGAAACATCTGGAGAGATCCAGTGGGTTGCCTCTGAAACCAATGACACAAATGACAAGAAAGAGGAGGAAGAAGAAGAGCTCGACCTCAACAAAGGTAAGTTGATGTGGTCAAATTTACAGTTGCCTGGCAAAATATTATAAGCAAACTTAATTCAGTGGAATTCTGCGCAATTAAGAATTTTGCACAAGGGCAGAACTAATACACTTTGACTAAGAGGATTTTGCTTGGTTTGAAAGTGACTTCAATTTAAGCGGTGCTCCATAAATGCTACACTAATAATTTTGTTAGAGAAATTCCCCTGAAGATTTTTAAATACACTACCTGACAAATCTTGTTATTGATCTCTGTTGCAAGAGCAACAAATAATAAATTGACTTCTAGTTGATCATTTGGAAAAGTGTCAGAAGGTAGATTTTTCTGATGAATCATCTGTTGAACCTCATTCCAATAATCACAAACACTGCAGAAGACATATTGGAACCCACATGGACCCAAGATTCTCATAGAAATCAGTCGAATTTAATGAAGGAAAAGTCATGGTTTGGGGTTATATTCAGTATGATGGGTGTGTGAGATCTGCTGAGTGGATGGCAACATCAACAGCCTGAGGCATCAAGACATTTGTGCTGTCCATTACATTACAAACCACAGGAAAGAGGAAATTCTTCAGCAGGATAGCGCTCATCCTCATACTTTAGCCTCAACATCAAAGTTCCTGAAAGCAAAGATCAAGTCGCTCCAGGATTTGCTAGACATGAACATTTAGCATGTTTGGAGTAAGATGAAAAGGATGCATTGAAGGTGTATCTAAAGTAAAGAGATGAACTCTGGGGGTCCTGCAAGAACGCTTACTTTGCCATTCCAGATGACTTTATTAATAAATTGAGTCATTTAACCTAATCTAATCTTGAGGCCTCTGTCTTTCTTGTAAGCCACTCCTAATACCAAATGATCAACTAGAAGTCAAGTTAATATTTGCTGTTCTAAAAACTTGGATGGGCAACAAGACTTTTTTTGTCGGGTATTATATGTTCAACTAACAATTTAATTTTGAGTGAGTTATTTCAGTATTCTCATTTTTATTTTCAGTTTTGCCAATAAAAACAGTTCCAGGCAAAGCTGGAGTAGAACATCTGTGCATCCTACAACAACACTGCAAAGCTTCATTTCAGAATTAATCTGTTTATAAATATAGCACTTAGTTAATATTTCATGATTTGTGATAGTCACTTCACTTTTTTGTTTAAACAGTCTTTGAATGGATGTAGCCTTTATATATCGCTCATTAAGACGATCTTACCACCAGCTACTGGAGGTTTTAGCATGATATTTATCCATCACCAAGCTTAATCAGCCAAGGCCCCAGCACAAAAACACACTAAGTATTTTGTTTGATTATTTAAAAAAATAAATTAACTGTTTAGTCAATATCACACATCTATAATATAACCTCAACTTAACTAACATTTACAGTTCTATAAGAAATTATTCATGAAATCCTAAACCTTAAGGTCATGTGTCATTGAGGTGAACGTTAGTGAATATAACTAGCTGCGAGAGCTGGGATTGCTTTGGAGCAGTGTTCATCTAGACCCATGGTGAATGATATATTCCTCCAAGCATTAGTTTTCATATTAATATTGTTGTAGTCTGGAAATGCCATCTGTTACAGACAAGGATTCTCTGATAACTGCATTATTTACTCCTCCAGTGCCATCAGGCATTGTACAAGTAGAATATGACACCGTGTTTGGATGGCTTGGTAAAAAATGATGACTGTATTTTTATTTTTTAATTTTTTAATGCTGTGTGTTGTAATGGAATTAATGTTGTTTTGTAAGGTGTACGCTTTTATCCTAATTTCCTTTTCCCCAGCCTTGCAGCATGCTGGGAAACACATGGAGGACAGCATTGTGGCGTCTTACTCAGCTCTTCTGCTTGGGTGTCTCTGTCAGGGGAGTCCGGTGAGCATCACTTCCACTCATTCTTTTAGTGCTTCAGAGGACAGGTTGTAGTTTTGGTCTCCCTTTTTATTAGGTGGCCTTAACTTAATGTACTTGCACTGAAACTAATAATTAATATTATTACTACTAGTTACTATTATTGTGTTAATACATGCTTTTTACATTGTACTTATGATTGATTAAAGACCTGGATGTAATCACATCTGTAATTAATTTCTGTAATTTGTAAATTGTAATAGTAAAATTGTAAATTGCACCTTAAACCTACCCATACCACCAAACCTGTCCATTGCCCTACCTGTATCCCACCGCAAGGGCGCCTGAAGTGTTTTGCTATACATTTTGAACACATTAAGTACATTATATTTATTTTTTGATGCAAGTACATAGTAGTTAAAGGAACCTAATATGAATTGGGACCATGTTATTTACTAATATTTTTTTGGAACAGTGATGTAAAGCGAATTCTGGGTATTTTATTTATTTTATTTTTTGGCCATTGGAAAACACAAGGGTAAATAGATAATGACTTGAAATGATTGGACAATAACTTTACTGCAGAATAATTTCTGCAAATGTTTTTGTAACTTTGGCTGTGGGATGGATCTATGTTAGTTTTGGATATTTGCTACTTGTGCTGCTTTGCACAATTGCAACTGCAATTTTTAACCCACCATTTTCCTGCAAAACTGCTTCAACTCAGTCAGGTTGCATGGAAGAGTGGAAAATACTCTTTTTACGTCTACTCAGATTCCCTGGATTATTATTAATGTTGTTAAGTCAATCTTGTAGTTTTGGCTTTACGCTTTGATATATTTCCAGAGAATTAAAAAGTCTTCTCTAAGGATGCTGATATTTTGCAAGTTTTCCTTTAGAATCTCTCTCTTTTTTTCTGCATTTTTGACTCTTCTTAGCATTCTAGTGCCTGATGCAGAGAAGCATATCTCTGGCATTGTGTTGTCACTACCATGATCACACTGGGGAAAGTATATTTCTGATCATGCTCAGTATGTAGTTCTACACATGGCTTTGTTTAATTCAGCTGGAGAAGCTTCTCTAGTCTGATGAGATCAAAATCAAGTTTCTGGCCATTAGAGTCTCCCACATGCTTTCTGGAAAAAAAAACTCTAGCTGAGATGTCACCGCAGATCTCTTCAGGTCTTTCTCTTTATCTCTATTTCCTCTTAAAGCTGTAAGTGGTAAAGCACCTGTGTAACAACTCTTCCACTGAAGCCTCGGGGTCGTCTCGGTGGATTTACAGCTGTGCCAATACTCTTTCCATTTCTGTCCTGATCTATTGGTACTCTTGGGGATGTTCAATGATTTTGAAATCTTCTTGTATCCGTCCCCTGCTCTGTGCTTTTCAATCAGCTTTTCATGGAGTTGCTCGGAGTGTTCTTTTCATCTTAATAGTTTTGTGTTCTACCACAATAGGATGTTGAAGTTTGCAAGCAAAGGTGTATTCATAGACTAATCGTTTGAAACCCTGTGACCGCACCCATATCATCTTAATAATATTATATAAGATATATTGAATGATTATTTGATTTAGAATTGAATTGGATCTAAAAGATTATATGATTCCAAATGGTTGAATTTTTTTTTTATTTTTAACTTTTTTTAAGATTCAGTTTTCTTAATGTATTATTCTTCGAATTAATAGAAACAGGTAATTTACGTTCATATTTAAATTCAGGAATGATGCATTAAAACTATAATGAAAGAACTTTTGCTAACATTGCTGCAGCAGGTGCGCTGATACTTAGCAGTGCCTGAAAATAGTCCCCTAGCTAAGTTCCAACATGACCTCTTACTTGCACAGGGAGTGTGTGTGCTTGTCACGCTGTGTAATATTGCCCCTGCTGGAGGAATTGTATGGCAGCAAGTTTGATTATTATACCAGAATGAGAGTATACTGTAGTTCCTAGCCACATTGGTCTAGTACAGTGTTTCTCAACCATGTTCCACGAGGGCCACCAACACTGCATGTTTTGAATGTCTTCTTAGTCTGTCACACCCATTACAGGTCTATCAGTCTCTGCTAATAAGCTGCTGATCTGATTCAGGTGTGTTTGGTTAATGAGACATGAAAAATGTGCAGAGCTAGTGGTCCTCCAGGAACATGGTTGAGAAACACTGGTCTAGTATATAGAAACTTTTAGAATTTTCCGTTGGTCTTGGTAAACAATGCAACTACAGAAGCAGTGTTTCTCAACCCTGTTTCTGAAGGCACACCAAAAGTACACAATTCAACCTCTTCCTTATCAAACAGACCCGAATCAACTCATCAGAACAATAGAAGAGAGTCAAAATTATCTGAAGTTAATAGGTCAGATAAGGGAGACATCCAAAATATGTACTGTTGGTGTGCCTCCAGGAATAGGGTTGGAAAACACTGTACAGAGTCCAACTTTAAATAGGAAAATTATTGAAACTCTTTGGTCATTTGAGCAAGATGCTAATGTTCTAATCAGATTTAATGATCTATGCTAAGCTAAGCTAAAAGTGCTCCCTCCAGACCCAGAGATCAGCTGAATGGATTTAAAAATGGTAAACTCAACTATTTAACTTTTAGGGGAGTGTTCTCAAAGTGGAGTGTTCCTTTAAAAATACATCACAATGTCATACACTACTTTTTAAAATGTTTAGTATACTTGGTATGAAAAAGTATTCATTTATTAATCATAACATTACTATTCTTATAGTAACCATTTTTTAATATTTATATGTAAATAAAAATAAATTCTATTTTTTTTTCTCAGATGAATGTGAAAACCGTACGGGAAAATCTTCCTAAAGGAGATTTCTCCATCATGACTGAAATGCTGAAGAAATTCCTTAATTTTATGAACCTGACGGTAAGCGCAACCAATATTCAGACATTTTCCACATAGCATATTCCACGCTTTCCTCACTCAATAGCATTACAATATTTTAATTGCTGATAAAATGGACAGCAAATCACAAAATAAGTAACACATTCAGAATGATTTATTGTAATGCAGACTTTGTAGCATGTGTTGGGGGCTGTTTACACAGCAACGGTTTCAGACAAAATGGAAAACTCTCTGTTTTGCCGCAAACAAACACAACAATGGTGGAGTTCATAGCAGTGTTGTTGTTGCTCAAGTCTTTGCTAATGCTTTATTTGCAAAGAGTGTTTTTTTCTATGTTAAGCTGCTTTGACACAATCTACATTGTAAAAGTGCTTTAAAAATAAACACATGATCAGCACACACAGCAAATCTACATAAACAGTGCAGAGCTACGACACTTCATCACTTCCTTACAAGTACCATTTAAAACAAGGTAACAGAGCCAAATATTGGCTTGGGTCTGTTCTTCGTATGTTGATTGCTAAATTAGCTGGATTTGGTTATTGATGATTTGACATGATCCAGGGTCGTTTCAATCTTCAAAACTCATCAGAGAGATGTTGTTATTGTAACAGTTTTAATAGCTCAAACCTGCTCGGGAGCAGGCTTATTTCATATAAACAGAATTAGATCAGGTCATTTCAAGCAAAGGTAATACTGAAAGTATGTACTGAATTCTGATATTTAGTTTAAAAAAAATATTAATAAAACCTATGCAATCTGCACACCAAAATCAAAGTACAAAGACAAGTCACAGAGTGGTTCTCCCCAGCTGGTTTAAAGAGAAAATGTATTAATATGGACTTTTTAGATTTAAATGCGTGGAATTTTAAGGTATCGACTTTAGTACAATTTGTGTATGATAATAGACAATATTTGACTTTTTTAAAGGAATAATAACTTGGAATTGACAGCTAATATGATGGTGATTTGATGCTTTGCAAAAATTGCAAGAACCAAATTAGCCAGAGATCAGTTATCAAGATTAAAAAAACCAAGATCTGCCAAATCATCTTGGATCATTTAAGTGAGGTATGAAGAACGGACCCCTGGTGTTTGTATTCATAATGGATTGTTTTGAAAACTTTGTGTAAATGTGAAACATAAGAGTAAAGTTTTGAAAATTTGATTGTCAGCTCAAACATTGCTAAAAAACAATTCAAATATTATCATAAACAATAAATATCACTCACCTCTTCTTGCTTGTATACGGATATTGAAAAGAGATGTGGTTTCTGTGGTCAAATCAGTGTGTCTTGGCTGTTTTTCTACCTGGATTTGAATGTGCTTTCCAGCTGTGAACTGGTCTCTATTCATGCAGTCTAATCCCAGGTGTGAGATTGCCATTGATCTTCCGAAATATGTGGCTGTGCTTTGAAATGTGGCCAGTGACATTTAAATCAGCTTTTAACACGTCTGTGCTCTTTCCTGTCATCAGTGTTCTGTTGGAACCACAGGACAGAAATCTATCTCACGGGTGATTGATTATTTGGAGCACTGTTAGCAGAGGTGTCGCAGTTCCCCCTCCTACTCCGTGGGATAAATCTGGACCTGGCAATGTGCCTTAGGCCCTTCAGGACAACAGAAAGCAGATCTGGTGGTAAAGGTGGCTAAGCATCGCTACAGAGACTTTCATGATTCTTTTCTCTCTCTTTTTTTTTTTTTTTTTTGCTTGTGCTTTTTATCTTTTTCAAATGCTGTCTTTGTCATGCTCACACACAAACACACACTTTCAGCTGTGTGTTTAGCAGAATATTTTGTTTTTGAAGCACTGATGAAATGATGAAAACTGTTTGATCAGAAGTATAATTTTAAGCTAGCTGTTCTTGTTTGTAGTGTTGAGATTTACCCTAAACAGAGTAACTTTATTGATATTTCAAACACTTGAGCTCTGAGGCTTTGTTCACACTGCAGGCAAATCTGATTTGGTTTTAAAATCCTCCTATTACGACTGACTGTTTGCACATGATATTTGCTCAGATAGTCTTTTATCAGCTTTATTTATATTAATAATGATGTAAGCGTAAATTGTCTTAAGAGATGTTCTCGCATCATAAGTGATTGTTGTAGCAACTGGAAATCATACGCATCTTGCATAGTACAGGCATTTTAAGTATTCATGAATATACAATACCCAAAATCAGTGTTGGAGACAATATCATTCAAAAGTTTGGGGTTGGTAAGAGTTTTAGAAACTATTAATTTGAAGAATTGGACTATTCACATCAAATCTATATTTATTTAATAAAAAAAAAACTAAATTTTACATATAATTAAAATATTTTTATGCAAATATATTTTACAGCGTAATTAAATCATGTGGTGCAAAGCTGAATTTTAAGCGGATAGTCTTCAGTGTCAAATAATCCTTCAGTAAACATTTAGAAGAATGGTGCTTTTTATCAATATTTATCATTTGTTTTTATTAATTATTTATTAGGGGTGTACAGATCACAACCCACAGTTCAGAACGCACAGGGCCCATGGAATAAAAACCTTTTTTGAACTTGTAGGTTAATCCAACATTTATAACAATTGCAGAGAGATTGCCTCCCGCATCATTTAAATCATGTGTATAAAATCACCTAAATACTTTCTTAGGTTATTAATTAAAGGTGTTTTCTGTCACTGTTTGTTTAGCCTGGATTAATGCGTTCAGTGTAAAGATGCACAATTAAACATTCAAAGATTGTGATCTCAATTTAAACCCGCGAAACATGAATGATAAATGAGAATGATTTGCATGTGTTTATTAATCCTTCGAAGCGCTGCATTTTAATCTGCGTTTGATCGAGAGACATTAAGTTTTTACACTTTTTCAGTTCGTTACAAACAATTAAATAACACAGAAATACTGGAAGAACAGTTTAGAGTTCATATATAAACACTGATGTTTATGGTAAAGATTAAAATCACCGTTTAATGGAACTTGATGCTGGTGAATGTTGTAGCAATTACATTGTGTAACCAATAAGTGGCGACACACAACCATCAAAATGATGTCACTAAATAGGTATTCAAAAATAATATACCTGTAATGAAATATGAAGTTTTATGTGTGAATTGGTGAATCATTCATTGAAAATAAAGATGATATGTTGTACAAGATTAGATTTCTATATTTAGCATCATCAGCAACAGTAGCGAAGATCATTTTTCTTATTGAATATGTTCCTTTTTTTCAGCTGGTTCTTTTTTTATTTTTATTTTTAATAAAATTACAGGTTTTAAGTTCTGTTTGTTAAACCAATGTTTTTTGCAATAATATTTTATTATAAATGGAAACAAATGACATTTGTCTCCTTCCTCTTTTGCTGATCCTAAAAATGGTCCGATCCGTGACTCAAAAACTGTAATGTGATCCGAACCGTAAAACTTGTGATCCGTTACACCACTATTATTTATCATTTATTAGTATTATTAATTTATTACAGACAGTTGTCCTGATTAATATTTATGTGGAAACAATGTTCAGAATTGTATGAAATCAGGATTTGTTTTTTTGATGAATGAAAATTCGCAAGTACAAGATTTTAAATGGTGAGAATAAAGTGGCAGTAAATGTTGATGTATTTTTAAACCCAATATCTTGTTGAATTGATTCATTATTAACTAAATCCCATTCTTTTGAAAGGTATTGTATATAATTTCATGAATAAAAAATATGAATAGGTTAATAAAAATAGGTTAAGAAAATATGCAAAGTTTGCCCAAGATGCCTGATGAACCAAAGACATTCCAAACATTAAAAAACAAATTATGCATTAATCAGATTAAGTAGATTTTGTGTGTGTGTGTGTGATTTAATAAAATTAATGAATTCCTCGAGTGGATTCTTTTAATATTCTGTGGAGTCCTGCTTGAAGAATAATTTATGGCCATGTCTAACATATAAATTGAACTCAAGCTTTTATGTTTGATTTCTTAAAGAAACACTTCACAGTGATGACAGTAAGCAAGACATTTTGATTGTTTTTACCTGAATATCTCGGGAGGATTGCTGTTTTCTGTTTTTTTTATGGCTTCTTTGATCATCCACTGGCTTTTGTAGTTTTACATTTTCTCTGTGTGAAGAATAATCACTTTACCAGTGATTAAAAAACATTACAGGTTATTTCTTTTGTTTTTATTCTGTTTATTTAATTAGTTTGGTAGGCTGTGCTGTGTGAGCCCCATTTTAGAATTGAAAAGGAAAAAAAAGACAGCACTTGAAAGTAGTTGATGTTTGGTGGGTTTATAAAGAAGTCCATCAAAATGCTCATCCGCTGTTAATTTAATGATATTATGGTTTTAATGTAATGGGACGATTGAGGTTTTGTTGTTTTATAATTTTATGAAAAGTTTTTCTTTACCTTTTGATGTGATCCAGGACAACTTGTTTCTTTCATCTCATTTTATTTCCACCCTGTCTTTGTCTGCAAAATGGCTGGAAGCTGCTGAAAGAGAAAAGAGAAAACAAAACAGTGCATCCTTTTTTTCAGACTGAACGAAGCAAAAGTGTCCTCTATTCCTTTCAGATCCTTGCTGAAGCAGAGCCATATGGAGTAAAGCTTGTTCTATTTTGTAAAGCTAAAGCAAGTTTTACTATAAGTTAATTTACTGATCTGAATTTGGATGATTTTTTTTCTTTTAATTGTAAATATTTCTGTACATATTTCATGTAAGACTGCTAGAATACTTCCACCAAACCTGAATATTCTTTATTTTATACTTTCCCACCCTTTTATTGCATTATTTTTAGATAAAAAAAGTACAATTACAAGAAATATATAAATATTATATATAAATATATATATTAAAGGAAAAACTATTTGTACCATTTTTCCAGGATGTTGTCTTTGGTTACAATGTAAATAATTTTACCTTGAATAAATACTTGCTACTTTCGGTACTTCAGTTGACTGTTTTATAATCTCTCTGTGTGATTTTAATCTGCATGCTTGTCTGAAAATCTATAGTCATGGTTAAATACTTTGAGTCTTTGAAGCTATGTAAAAATGGCTTGGAAATTTGTAGTTTCTCGCGATTTACAGTTTATAGTATACAGTTGAAGTCAGGATTATTATTCTCTCCGCCCACTGCTCCCACATGTGTCAGCTTGTTATTTTGCATTAGGTTAGATAAACAGCACAGTGATAGAGCCTAATTCTGATAAAGCTGAAATACAGATTATTAGTCAAAAATAGCATGTAAGTTTATTTTGTGTATTTTTGGTGAAGTTCATTCAAGAATTTCGAAAATGATGAGTCTCACACAAATGCAGTTTGCTGTGCACGTTTACTGACACCATGTGGCTGTGGCGACTATAGGTTAAGAATTAAAGCAATTTTACTGTCTATCACATACAAACTTTGTTTAAAATAAAGTTAATAAATAAATAAAGTTTTAAGTTTAAATCAATTCAGTGGGCCGGAAAAACCGCACTCCTAAGTCACATGGCGGTGGGCCTCAAAATCACTGAGATTTGGGTAGTATTTTAATTTTAGAAAAAAAAAAAAAAATAAATAAAAAAAGACTTGTTGGGTTTATAGCACTCCAAAATGACAGTCGACACATTATATGCACACACAGTTCTGTTTAAACAGCTTACAAAAGTTGATTTTGATCATAGGTGCCCTTTACACTTACGAGTTAAGAACTCAGTATTTGGTGTAATAACCATCAATAGCACCTACAGCATTCAAGGCCATCATATATTTTTAAAACGCATGCATTTTTAGTTATTATACATTTAACTTGAGTTATAGAAGCATTTCTGGATGTAAACCCCTTTTTTCAAACATAAAGAAAATATTTTTGTTAAAGAAATGCCTATTTAATGACTTTTTCCTTTTTAAATAATTAATAGTGTGATATAGTGTAGTATGCTGGGCAGGAGTGATAAATGACCAGAAAGAAATGTCATTCAGTACTGAAACCAAAGGTCTTGTTGCTCTGAATAATGTTTAATGTTTCACGCTCTTTAATGTGCTCAAGGTCTTTGTATAATATGCGCTGTGAGTCTCTCTTTATATATTGTGACAGCTCGCCTTGAAGGTCAGAACTGTATTGACACCCTTTAAAAATGCTCGAATATTTTTTTTTTGTCCTGAAGCACATCTGTGTGAAACAGATTTCCTCTGCTTCTGTCACATGGTTTGCTACACAGTCTGTTTCACCTTGTGACATTTTCAGTTTGTAAAGTTTCGACAGTTTCCACAGCTGCTTTCCAGAAGAGGCTCACAGCTCGGGTTCCTTGTCCTTCTGAAATGCATGTTAAAGGATATTTGAATAAACTGCTGATGGTTCATTTACTCGCCATGAAGAGCTTTTAAAAAGATGCCGTCCTGCTGACTAGCATGGTGACGTTGATTTGTGCCGTTTTACCTCTTTAGGGTATTTACGGGCAACAAACACTGTAAAGTAGTATACTTGTTTAGCTAGCCTCTCCGTCTAATATAAGACATTTGTTGCATTACTGATTGGTGTTCATTCTTAAAGAGAATATTGAAGGCGATGAGGGGAGTCCTCAAAATATGTTCATCAAAGCGTGTGAAATTTGAGTGTTACATAGGTTAAACGTGCAAAGGTGGCCATTTTTTTTACTTTTTGTGACAGTGTTCTACATCAGTTGTTCCCAAAGTGGGGTTCGCAGGACAATAATAGGGGGTTGCTTGGTGATTTAAAAAAGTCAGATACATTCTATTAAACTAATAATTACAAAATTCTAACCATAACCCACAGAAGATAAAAAAAATAGTAGTTTTTATTAGTAAAAAAAAAAAAAAACAGCATGCAATGAAAAGCCACCAGCTTTTAAATTATTATTATTTTTTAAGGTATTGGTGTGTTTGTTAGATTAACCAACACAATCTTATGGCAATTCTTAACTTTTTGATTTAGTGGCTAATTCGTATGAATTCGCACGACCTAGTATGTACAATTTATTATGATTTGCTCATACCCCAATGACGGTTGGGTTTAGGGGTGGGGTTAGGTGCCACGCCTCCTTTTTAAAATCTTACGATTTCGTACAAATGAACTCGTACGAATTAGCCACTAAACTCGCAAAACGTAAAACACTTACATTTTCTTGTGAGATCAGGCTGGATTAACAGCACAGCAATAGTGTCAGCTGCAGCAGATTGATTTTATAGCACCAGGTTAAAATCTGACACCTTTATGGCAATTAAATACATTGAAAATAAAACAGACCACAACTGAATATTAAAAATTATGTCTGATTAGCGATCTCCAAAATTTAACCAAGATTAGACTTTGTCCACAAAGACAAAAAAAAAACTTTGTCCACCAGTCTCATTAGATGAGGTTAATTCTGTTAAGCAAATGAATGACTATAAAAATTATATGGTTGTTAGACTGTTGCATTTTTTGTGTTGTCCATAGGCTGTTGTTATTGTAGGCTTATTGTTGTATGAGCCACATTTACATACTTGAAGAGTTTAGATGCAAAAACCTCTAAATGCCGTCTGAAATTTTCCTCTTAAATGAGCATTTATATTAGGCTCCTGTGTGTATGTTCCGTAATATCACTTTTATGGCAAAGAATTTGTAATTTTCCTGGTCTTTAAAGTAAAATATCTCAACATAAACAAAGGAGGCTAAGAAAAATGGTCATTTTTGATGGAAATTTCAGACGGCACTTAGAGGTTTTTGCATCTGAACTCTTCATTTGTAACCACCTAAGAGGAATTTGTGAGCTGCGAGTCACAGACATTGTTATTTTAGGGGTTGCGGGCTGAAAAGTTTGGGTACTCTTGTTCTACGTTATCCAACTGTGTAACCACACTGAAAAACTTACTCTTATATTACAGCAAGAAAATCATACGGAAAGTGATTCAAGTCTGGACTTTTTTGTGTTGCCAGGTTTTTAAAAAAAAAATGTGAACAAGGGAAAATGAAAAAGTAAATGGAAAAATTATTTATATTGACATCAAGACCATGTAATACTGTAGTCTGCTCCTGCACACAACTTAATAAGCTTTCTTTAACGAGTCAATCCCAGCCAAACAATTAGCCTAGGACTACACTATAGTAATAAGTGAACATTGGCAGCAAAAAATAAATAAATAAAATTATGCCAATTTCCAATATAAGCAGCTTTCCAATATAAAGCAACTCTGCTGTTATCGATCTAGGCTATAAGTTCTGCGTACTCGGTACGGGGTCTGTGACATCATTTACTTCCACATTCTTAAAAGTTTAAAGGTACTGGCCCAATACCCCCATAAGTGGTTGCATTCCATCAGTTGGAATAAAATAACTTTTGCATAGATTATAATCAAGACAAGGTTTCACTTTCAAATTTGAGTTTACAAAAAAAAGCGCCTTCTTTTTGGAGGGGTTTATTATAACACAGACAACATATACAAGTATTTTAATCACTTTCAACAGTGTTTTATGAAAATCAAAAGGGTTTTCTTTCAAATGATACCAAAATTTTGCATTTACATCTGAGCCTGTGGATTTGTGAAGCTTTTAAATTTTGGTCGGCAAACCCCAAATTAGCACTTGACTTTAAGAGATTAAAGTTGCAAGACATTATTTTGTTGTTAAAATAGGCTATTAAAGAGATCATTTATTATTCACCAAATTAAAGCTTTGCCATTTACTCAGCCGCCTTTTCTTCCAAATATTTAAAGAATATTGAAATAGGGTAGCCATTAACATACTTTTTCCCTACTACGTAAGCCATGAATTCCAATTACAAACTTCAGAAACTCTTATTTTGTGTTTAACTGTTTTCGTGATATGCCCAGCCTGATCCCACGAGAAAACGTAAGTATTTTACGTTTTGGCAGTTTAGTGGCTAATTCGTACGAATTCGTACGAGTTCAGTCGTAAGAAATTGTACGATTTTAAAAAGGAGGCGTGGCACCTAACCCCACCCCTAAACCCAACCGTCATTGGGGGATGAGCAAATCGTACTAAAATGTACGAATTAGATTGTACGAATTTGTACGAATTAGCCACTAAATGAAAAAGTTACGAATTGCCGTGAGATTGTGTTGGATATGCCCTGTATCTTCTTATAGTACAGGAGTAAACCTTGTGTTGCAGTGGTTGGTGTTTTTCTTGCATCACGGTTTTGCTATAAACATCTACTTGGGCAAATACCCCTATCACTCTAATCAACTTTCTTTTCTCTTTGTTTAAGGTGAGCCCTTAGTATTTCTAACTGTAGTTTTCTTAAGAATCCTCTTTTATTCATTAAGCACATCTGCAATGTAAGCCAGAGAATTTCTAAATTTATAATAGAAATCAATCCTGTACCTCAAAGCTTTTTTTAGTTAAAAGCATATGGAGTCTAGCAACGCCTCTCTCTTCCACTACATAATAAGGAAGCTGTTTCCCTTGTATGCACATGGATTGATAATATAGCATATTCAGTCTGTATTTACAAGCTTTTTTTCTCTCCTGAAACTTTACAGCTTAGACAATAGACTTTTACCTCCTTTCAGGAATTCCTTTCACATCACTACCTAGAACGGAGAGGTTGAGGTTACTGTGCGACACTCAGCAGCAGGACTGGTTTGGATCAGATAATGTGCTGTAGGGCTTGAGGCTTGTTCTGCCCTGGTTCTCACTGGAGGGTCACCTACTCCAGGGTTCAACCGTATAAATTCTCCCAGGCGGCGTTTGTTCTCTCAGTGAATTTAAACATCTCTGCGGGGAGAGCTGTGGCGCAGTGTCATAGCAATGACTTGTATGGATTTTCAGTGTTGGGCATAAATTCTTTGCGAAATATATTGTGTGAAAATTGTTTTGCGTAGGGTCATGTAAGGTAAAATGGTGGAAAATAGAAATGGAATGTCACAGTTCTTAAAGATTCTGTTTCAAATCACTGTTGACTGTTTTAGCAGGCCCACTCGACATTTAACAGTACTTTGC